CTGGCCGAGCGCCAGCGGGTTAACGCTTAACCGCGCCCCGGGAGCGCGAGGCTCGAGCCGCGTCCCCAGCCCCTAACCTTTGGCCTCACCCGCTCAAATCTGGGGCGGAGGGGCAAGGAGACGTGGTGACGCCAGAGCCCGCCCTGCCCAGACCCTTCCTCCCGCGCCCCAGCGTGCGAGCACAGGTGTTCTAGGCTGGGCTGGGGGGCGGAGGTCATGGACGTGGACACCGTCCTACCTGGATGCAGATGTGGGCCAGATTCCTCCTAAGAGGCGGGGTGGGTGTGGGGACCCGGACGTGCTCACCGCTCTTGCGATGAGTTCCCGGGACGCTGGCCCCGCGCTGGGCGCCAGGACAGGGATTAACGCTGAGGGCGGGGGCGGAGGGGTCGCCCTGCAGGTGGGAAACGCCTGAGCTGACCAGCACAAGTGGAGGGAAGTCCAAGGAGATGAGGGGGGCGCTGTGCTGGGGCGTCTGGGCCGCCGAAGTCGCGGAGCGTCCTCGGCCGCGGCACTGCCCACCCTGCCCCGCGCCCGGGCCTGCCGCCAGCCCGGCTCGCTCCACCGTCCGCCGGGAGTCATCGGTCCCCGCAGAGGCCCCCGTGCCAGGCCCCGACCTGGGAGTGTGGAAACGCACCTGCACTGAGGAGCCGGGAGTGTGCAAGGGGTGTGTCGGGCAGCGGGCAGGCCTCCTGTTCCGGCTGAGGGAAGGACCGGTGGTGGGAGCTCCCACGCCAGGGGGACCGAGCGGTTAGGGGGCGGGGCACGCCAGGGGAGGGACCTGGAGCCAGTGATCAAGGAGTTTGGACTTCATTCCAAGAACTATGTGGCGCCGAAGGAGGGTTTGGTGCCGGCTGAGGCCTGCTCGCATGAGGGCTTTTGAGAGCTCCAGGGGCCAGAGGGTGTGGCTGGGAGAACTGGGCGGGGGGGCGGGCGGGGAGTGATCAGATGTGCAGTCAGATGCCCCGGGCTGGAAGACGCGGGGCCCATGAGAGGGAGGGGATCAGGCCGGGTGTCCCCCGGCTGGCCTTCAGACCTCAGGACGTATCAGTGGCCCCATGCCCCATCCCCCACACCCAGGTTGCTTCCAGGTAAATCTGGCCTCCAGCCCAGAGGTTTGCGAATTTCCCCAGCCCCCTCCCTGCTGGGGGCAGACCTGTTCTCCCACTGAGGCTCCAGCCGCGGCCTGCTCAGGGCTCTGCTCAGCATGAGCCAGGGCCTTGGTGGCCTGCCCGCTTCTCCAAGTCCTTGTCCAACCTCGGCTAATGGCCTTTCGAAAAGTCGTTTTCTCTCTTCACGTCTTCCACCTGCCAGGACCCAGACTTCCTTTGGGCGAGGGAGGGGGGAGGCAAGGCTGGTGCCCAGGGGTCACCTGGACCCCCTGCTGTCAGTGGGGAACAGGTGAGCAAGCCAGGAGAGCAGGTGTGCGGGGGTCGGCAGTTGAGAGTTTGACACGGAGGGCTGGAGAGACCCAAGGACACTCAGGCGAGCTAGCTGTCCAGTAGATTTGGGAGCTCGGCACAGAACTGGGGGAGCAGCCGCAGGCATGGTCAGGTGCGGGGGGCACTGGGGGCCACAGGGAGGAGGGAGAAAGAAGGAGGTAGCCAGAGGTAGGGACCCGCAGGGGAGTCAGGAGGAGCGAGGCCACAGTCCCCCAGGCTGGTCCATCCATGGCGCATGACCCCGGAAAGCAGTTACGGGGTGTTTTTCTATCTACGTGCGCCAAATCTGAACTCCACGGGGAAAAATAAAGGAGCAGGAGTAAGTAACCGGAAAGGACTCGAACGGACAGGTCTCCAAAGAAGATACACAGACGGCCAACGAGCACGTGGAAGGAAGGGTGCTCGGCGCCCTCAGTCAGCAGGGAGAGCCAGAGCGAAACCTCCACGAGAGGCGCTTTGCTCCCCCTGGGGCGGCTTCTATCGGGGAAGAAACGGAAAATAACAAGTATTGACGAGGATGCGGAGAAGTTAGAACCCTCTGCACTGTCGGGGGAAGGTCACTGGCACAGCTGCTGGGGGAACCGGGAAGGGGGTTCCTTAAAAGCAGAAGCACCTCGTGATCCAGCCGCTGCACTTCCGAGTACACACTCAGAACTCAAACCAGGGGCTCGAGCAGGTGAGCGTTCGCACCCCGCCTTCAGCGCAGCACTACGCACAACAGCCACGAGGTGACAGCCGCCCGAGCGTCCAGTGATGGCAAAGGGCTGGGTGAACTGCGGCCTGCGTGTGCTCGCCACGGTCAGGGAGAGGCGCCTGCGTGCCGCCGACGGCAGCTGCCCTGCGAGGCTGGCACACGCTGCAGGTTTCCAGCAGGGCCGGGGTGGCCGGTGGGCGGGACAGGCACTCCCTCCCGCCACTCGTGACTCGCAGGAGTGGGACTCTGAGGTTCGAGGCGGGGAGTCTGCGCACAGACCGCAAAGGCACTTGTCTGCTTGCCGGCTCGTCCCACGGGACGTTCGCCGTGTGCACCCGGCATCAACTCGGTTTCCGCCACCGTGCTGCTCCTGACGGCGGAGCTGAGCGCAGCCCGACCGTGTGGCCATCGAGGGTCAGCGGATGGCATGGATGCGAGGTGGCCATGGGCACGAGGCAGCAGCGCCCTGGGCTGGTACAGGACCACCTCCATACTCCACGCGAGCCCGCAGCCCCCCGCCGTGCCTCTGCCCTGTCTGGTCAGGCGGCCGCCACGCATGGGGACCGGACCTTGTTCCCTGCGTGCCCTTGGTTCTGCCTGAACTGTTTAAATCAGGAAGCGGTATCAACGATTACAAAGTCTGCCGTAGTCTTCAGAGGAGTCAGGAGGGGGCCGGGGTCCCCCTGCAGAACGCAGCAGAGGCTCCAGGGAGGCCAGCGGGCCGGCGGGCTGGGACCAACGGCACCCCGCCTCAGGGCCAGGCAGGGGCCCGAGGTGGTGCCTGGGGCTTGGCGGGGTGTGCAGAGGCCCCTTTGAGCCAGGATGTGGGGTGCAGCCAGGTGAGTTACAGAAAAACAGAGGCTTTCTCCCCTCCCCCCGTCCCCAGCCTCAAGGCCCTTGACCCTTGAAGTGTTAGACTCAGTGGGCCCAGGAGGAGCTGAGGCTGGGGCTGGGGCTGGGGCTGGACGCCGGCCCCCACTCGCTCTGGCCTCCTCCTGAACCCCACACTAGGGGTCGGGCCCGGGGTCTCTGGGTCAACTCCCATAAGCCAAGTCTCCCGTCAGCCCAGCCGCCCTGTCCCCTGCGGGCAGGACTGTGGGACTCCAGCTGTCGCTTTGCCTTTAGATCTGTGCATTTAGTCACCCGGTTCACGTGTGCGCATTAAAAGCCTCCAGCCACGGCAGAGCTGGAAGAACTGGACGCCTTTGCTGCTCGGGAGGAGGAAGCTTCAATGTGGCAGACAACACATGACACAAAGGTGACAGGCACAGACCCCAGCAGAAAAACACTCCGGTCCCATGAGTCAGGCCCAGAGGCCAGTTCTTCCCTGCCCAGTGGTCTGTCTGGCCTTGCACACCCCTGCTGGTGACCAGAAGCCAGAGGCCACAGCCAGGAGCTGGGCCTTCCTGGAGTGAGGCCGAGTGATGCGTGGCTGTGAGTGGGCCAGCTTCCCATCTGATGTGGCCTCTGCATGGCCACCCAGGTGCGTGTGACCCGTCCAGCCCGGGCGAGGACAGGAGCAATCTGCGGCCTGGCCCTGCCGGCCCCCAGCTGGGCGAGCCCTTGGTGGGGCAGCGGGAACTAGCCTCTCCGGACCAGAAGCGGGGCAGACGCGGCTTTGCTCCCGCCAGAGGCGGAGGGCCCCAGGCCACTGTCCAGGCCTGGCCCCCTCCCTGTCTGAGACCAGTCCCCCAGGGCCCCAGACAGCAGGAGGGCTGGGTCCACAAAGCCCGAGCCACATGGTGTCTACGTTTGTTTGCTCAGCCAAGGGCAAAAAGGCTCCCTCTGGGCGAGGCAGGCACAGTGCTCCCAGGGCCTAGCTTGGGAGTGGAGGGACGCTGGGCTGTGGCAGGACAGTCAGCTCCAGGACAGCCAAACCCGAGGGTCAGGGGCGGGGTGCAGGGACTGCGAGGCTGTGTCCCCCAATCCCGCTTTGAGCCTCCCTCCTGAAGGGCATGGTGTCTGCCTGCACCCCTCACAGAACTCACCCCCACACGGAGAACTCGAGGGGGGAGGGCAGTAACCACCCCCTACCACGAGCACGCCCTGCCGCCCCCCCAAGGGGTGCTGCTCCTGGCCGTGGGCCAGAAAGACTGTCCTGTGCT